TGTTCACTCCTGATGCGTAGGAAATAAATTATTTATATAAAAATTCTTGAACGTGGGATGTTATCATAGCTGTTTTATGAGAGAGGTGAAACCTAAGATGCTTAAGAGAGTGACAGACCTTCACATTCAATGGGGTTTCAATCATGTATTTTCAAATTATTTGGAAAAACAATTTTAGTGTGCTTATTTTTTTCTTTGTTGCTATGCTTAGTTGACAGTATCTTTTAGGAATATTACTTTGGTCCTGCAGGAAAGATATAATGAAGTGGCCAAGAACAAAAACAAGAAAAGGTAAAAGAGTGGCAACATAGATTTCAAATATTTTCTCTCAAAATGGCCATTCTCGTTGCTTTCATTGCAAATGTACCAGAATGGAGGCTGTCTGACCTTGATCCCGCGAGAGAAATGGAGAATGGGGAACAAGGGCTATTTATAATAATTCTCAACCTTTTGTGTGCCTGGCACCCCTAAGGGAGGAACACATTTCAGACAGAAACCTTGTGGTTGCAAGTAACAGAAAACTGACTTAAACAGTAAAGGAAATAACTGTGAAAAGTCCAGGCTTACAGAAGCTTGGGTAATTAAACAAAGCACCACTGGGAAAGATTTTTTTCTGACTCTTCGCTCTGTTCCCCCCGCCACACACATCTTCTTAGCCCAAGGCTGGCTCCCCTCATGGGCACAAAATGGCTGCCAGCAACTCCCAGGGATTGTCTGCTTCCACACACGTAGTCAGAGAGGAAAGAATATCTCTGCCTATGGCTCCTAGAAGATCGATGATCATTGATCATTTTCAGCCCCTGGAAAATGCCTCCTTGCATCTCCCTTGCACAACTGGATCACAGGACCATCCCTGAACCAGGCACTAGGATAGGGGGTGGGGCGTGTTTGGTTTTGGTAATTCAGGTCACCCTGCTGCTGGAACCATGGGTTTCTCTGAAGGTCCAAGTGCTGAGGAGGAAAGGAGTGAAAAGGCCTAACTAACGATCTGGTATCCAAAGGAGGAGTGAACGGACGCTGGGTGTCTTAATCCACTACTGTGTTGCTGACAGAACTGAGACGGGGTGACATACAAAGAATTGTGTTTATCTGCCTTATGATTGGAGAGTCAGCTGGAAAGTCAGAAGCTGTGGGGCTGGCATCAGGCCAGCCTCTGGTGTTATGTCACAACATGGCTGGCAGAAACAGAGAGGATGACAGGCACACACCAAGACAGAGATCCAGGGGCAGTCATCTTCTTCTAGTAACAACCTGTCCTTACAGGAATTAACTCCTTCTCATGAGATCTAGAACTCACTCCATCTCACAAGACAGCATTAATCCATTCACGAGAATAATGCCTCCATAATCCAAACACCGCCCACGAGGTCTCGCCTATTAAAGGTCTCACCACTTCTCAACGCCATTGCACATTCCAAAACATGAACCTTTGGGGGACAAACTTATTATCGAAATCATAGCGCTGGATGTGTGAGAAAAACAAATGTCCACTATGTCAAAGTTGGAGGAAGTACACCTGGAGATCGTCACATTCCTTCTTAGAGATTGGTCTCCTCACCCACCTCACCCATCTCTCAAGATGAAAGTTAAAGCCCAGATGGTGGTGTACCATAAGAGCCCAACACTCTGTGAGGCAGACCCCCAGACTGAATCTGATGACTTCCCTGAGCATGCGGTGTACCATAAGAGCCCAACACTCTGTGAGGGAGACCCCCAGACTGAATCTGAAGACTTCCCTGAGCATGCAATGGTCTAGGCTGGCTAAGGCTGGGGGGGGATCATGGCATTGGGATCCTGCCTGGGGTGCTGAATCTCTGTCTCTCCTGCTTATGGAATACATAAATGTGATTCTTTTTAGACAGAGAGATTTTTGCTATAAGGCATGTGTGCTCACTAGAGAGACAGACAAAGACAGAGAGATAGAAAGCAAAAAAATCACCTCCCGGATGGGTTGGCCATGCCACAATCCCTTCTTTTTCCTTCTCCTCTTGGGATTTTGGGCACGCACAGACATGTGCCTAGCATGAGTTTTAGGCTGCCAGGTCCAGGACTTGAACTGTAATTGACTACATGGGAGTCCAGCGACATAATCATTACATCATCTGCTGGTCCCAAATAAATACACTTTTCAAAAAAATGATGAAAGCTGATTTGACTGTCGTCAGTTTTCAGCCAAGGCCTTAAGACATCCTGGGATAACTGAGATGAACAAGATATATTACCTGTAATTCATTACTCAAAAGATAAGAGTTTGTACTTAGTTTCATTGTGTCATATCCAGTTGAGCTTATTCAAGGCTACACACGTACTTTTTTGCATCCTATGCATTTCCTTGAGTAGGATAGTGTGAGCTGCAGTTACAAATACTCTAGGGAATTGCCATAGCCTCTTCACCCTGAGCTGCCCTGCACAGGTAACACAATAGAAAAATGGCTGAAAATCGAACAGGCCAGAAGTAGTCCCTTCTCTCAGGTTCCTTCTCCCGTTCTCCATCTCTACCATGAACATCATTCAACTCTGATACAACTACACTCTTCAGCTTCCACTTTCCACTGAAAAAGTCTACAACAGTAGGCCCCAGAGCCCAATTTCACTGACAGTGACTGGAGAGGACAACACCCTTGCTCCTCCCACACGTCCATATTAGGACGATTCTGTTAGCACACCCCCAACCTACTCCCACCCTTTGGAAAACACTCAGGACAGTACTACCAACTAGCCTTGGTCAAACTTCACTTTCTCTGGGCTTATTTCTGTTTTTAGGTTTTTGCCATGGGGCACGTGGCACTCACTGGAAAGAGACAGTAAAAGACAGTGAGAGGGAAAATGAGAAATCGTCCCTCCCCCCAGAAGGATGGCCACACCACAATCCCTTCTCCTCCATTCTCCTGGGATTTTAGGCATGCATGCACACATGGCTGGTGTCATTTTTCAAGCTGCCAGGTCTGAGACTTGAACTGCAGTCGACCATGTGGGAGTCCATGCCTTAAAGATCATATTGCCTGCTGGCCCCTGTCAAACTTCACTTTGACTTTCATTCTTTTAACCTTTACCCTCTGTTTATTATGTCACTAACTCATATTTATTGCAAAGTTACTAAAAAAAATTCACATCAGCTAATAAACAGAAATGAAACCACTGTACACCCACCCCCAGAAGGAAGTTCCACTATGATGATAGACACGGGACTGGCTATGTCCTTCCATATCTTTGATATCTGTATGCCCACAAAGATTATTTTTCAGACAACAGAAACAGAATCACATTACAACTTTTTTTAATAGATTTTTGCTATAGGGTGTGTTCACTCAAAGGAAAGACAAAAAGACGAAAAGAGACAGAAAGCAAGAAATCACCTCCCTGCATGATTTTTCTGGGGCAATGGCCACATCACAACCCCTTCTCCTCCATTCTCCTCTCAGGATTTGGGACATACATACACATGCACCAAGTGTGAGTTTCAAATCATCAGGTCCACGTCTTGAACCGCGGTCGACGATGTGGTTCGAGTTCTGGACCCATAGGTAGGGTTAAAACCCATGCTGGGGGAGACTAAGTGGGAATCCAGCAACATAACCATTACGCCATCTGCTGGTCCCCATGCCTTCTCATTCAAAAAACTCAAGCATTGTATACAGCAATAAATACACTTACACTGTGATGTTATCTTTATATTTCATTGCTGCGCGATATCCTATTGTTTAGATGTGCCATAATTATTTACGTGTTTATGTACCTGTCTTCTATTGCAAGATGCAGAGGTGGTTTCCAAGAGCTTGCTATAATAAGCAGCATCCCAGTGAACAATTTTGTCAATGGACCTCGGTGTCCATTCAGGGATATTGCTCTGGGATGCTGGACGGTGGATGTTAGCTGTAAGGGCATGCTCACTTTGAAAGCGTTTACATGCAGTGATGAACGGCCCTTCCACAAGTCGTCAGAATGTATTCTCACAGCTTTATCTGAGAGTGTTCATTTCCCCATAATGTCTTAGTACTTCTTTTTACTTAAAAAGAGATCCTATTGTGTAGGAATTCATTTCATGGCAGAAGAACCAAGATAATATTTTGGTTATTGTTTCTCCAAATTGGGGGCTGAGAAAAGTGACTTTTGTATTCAAGCCTAGTTATAGTAAGCCTCTTCTTTATGTTGGCCCGGTGTCAAACTCTGACTAATAAAGTTCGGTACTGTGAGGTTTTCATGGTGTCTAACCAAGAAAGAAAGGGAAAACCCATGACCTGGTCATAAAATCCTGCAGGGGACAAGAAGGGAGGAAAAGACGTATGTGCCTCTTTACATTGATGAGATTCAGTTCTCCAAATCTTTGTCATCGCCACCAATATAATAATACTTATGCTTAATGCTTAGGTATGTACTTTATTTTAAATATAATGCTAGTAATAGTAGCTTCCATTTTTAAAATGTTTGCTATGAGTCAGAAATTTGTCACTTCATTCAATCATCACAACAAAGTGAGGATGATTCCCCCATTGTATTAAAGAAACTAAGGCCCAGAGAGGTTGAGTGACTTGTCCAAAGTCACGCAGTTGGTCGCCAGGCAGAACCAGGGTTGAGCTCAGGTTCGCCCATCTCCAAAGCCCTCACTCTATGTCCACTGTGCCACAGGGCCCCTCCTTGATATATAGATGGACTCTGCTACCCTCAGATTTGTCTAGACCTCTCAGATGAACCCATGAGCCTTGTATAACCTGGCTGCATTTCTAACGGGTGCACACACACACACACACACACACACACACACACATTTTTTAAAGAATTATTTTATTCAATTTTATTTATTTATTTTTACTTTGATCAGAGAGGAACAGAGCAAGAGTGAGAGAGAGAGAAAGAGAGAAAGCGAGCCGCCAGGTCTGAGACTCGAATCATGGTCGGCCATGTGGAAGTCCAGCAGCACCCTTAGCCACCACACTGCATGCCAGCCCCTGTAACAGGTATATTAACCCTGCTTCTACTTTCGCTTCTTGTCTTTCCAACAGAACGCAGAAAATTCAATGAAGAACATCAAGTATATGGGCAAGGAAATAATAAACCTCAAAAAAGACCTTATTCGAAGCCGGTGAGTGATCCCAGCAGGGAATGACCCACCGACAGCTGGATAACGATGAGCAGGGTGTGGGTTGGTGCCCACAAGCCCTTGCTGAGACCAATGTCCCTCAACCCTCAGGCCTGGACAGAAGACTCACAGGATGGTAGCTCTGTATGGAGCAGCCGACAGGATCCCTTTCCTGGTTGGGCTTTCCAGTGAGTTTTACCTGTCTGTTGTGAGATGCAGAGGTGGTTTCCAAGAGTTTGCTATTATAAGCAGCATCCCAGTGAACAATTCTGTCAATGGGCCTCAGTGCCCATTCAGGGATCTTGCTCTAGGATGCCAAACAGCAGGTGTTAGCTCCAAGGGCATGCTCACTTTTTTTTTTCTTTTTTTCTTTTTTTTTTTGAATGGTTTTTGCTTTTTCAGGGCACATATGCTCGCCAGAAAGACAGAGAGAGACAGAAAGAAAGAAAGTGAGAAATCACCCCCCAGGGGCGATGGCCACACCACAATCCCTTCTCCTCCATTCTCCTCTTGGGATCTTGGGCACACACACACACATGCCCAACATGGGTTTAAGCTACCAGGTCCAGGACTCGAACCACAGTCGACTACATGGGAGTCCAGCAACATAGCCATTACACTAACTGCTGGTCCCAGGGCATGCTCACTTTTAAAGCTTGTACTATACACTGATGAATGACCCTTCTGCACTCTTACTCATGTCAGTCTCTTGCCTAGAATTCCCTCTGCTTTCCTTCTTGGACTAGAATCCAACTCCAGAGAACCCTCATGTGCTCTGGAAAACTTCCCCTTTTCACTCCAGACTCAGCTCAATGATACCAGAGTCAGACGGACTCAGTCTCCAATACTGCCCCTACCTGCCAGCTAGTGAATGGAAGAGTTATCTAATTTCCCCTGGTCTCTGTTTCCCTATTTATAAAATGACAGTAATAGGAGGTTATTGGAAGAATTGAGTGAACTAATGGGTATCAAGTGCCCCTCGCATGGCCCTTCAGATCCACCCCCAGCTCACTCCCGCCGTCCCTTCCCTCCCTGATGGTGTGAGCAAACTCAGGTCCAGGATGAATATTCTAATTGTCTCTGTGTAATGAGATGGGACTTTTTTACCCTCTCCCCTCAACTCCTTCCTGGGACCTGAAACATTCCAAGATGGGATTGTTTTAAATGGGGCTTTTGACAAAGCAACTCAAGGCAGAGCAAGAGCTGGAGACCTGGCATAACACCCAGAGATGTGCTGAGACGGGGAATAAGAGGAGACTTCAAAAATGTCATAGGAGCCAGCAAGTGGCTTAGAGGTTAAGGCACTGGACTCCCAAGTGGTCGATCGCAGTTCAAGTCCCAGACCCAATGGCTTGAAACTCACACTGGGTGTATGTGCATGTATACCCAAAATCTCGAGAGGAGAATAGAGAAGGGATTGTGGAATAGCCTTTACCAGGGAGAAATTTCTCATTTTTCGTCTCTCTGTCTGTCTCTCTCTTCAGCAATCACACACATCCTATAGCAAAAGTCTCTCCAAAAAAAAAAAAAAAAAAAAAAAAGTCATAGAAAATGCAATCAAAGTTCAAATTTATTTGGGTGTAAAAAAAGAAAAGAAAAGAAAAGAAATCCATGCATAGATTTTTCAGAATATGCATTTTCCATGACCTGTTGGAAGACCCTTCATAAAGGCTGGTGGGGGAAGATCTGCTCATCTTAGCCACCACCCCCCCACACACACACACACACACACACACTGAGCTGGACCATAGAGAAGACACAGCGAGGTACTTGCTCCTTTCACCTCCATCATCCAAAAGCTCCCCTTCCCCACAGCCAGCTGTGCCTCTGCCCTGCCCTGTCCTATAGCACAATGTGAATGGATGACTGAGCCCAAGGAGGAGGCCAAGAAGAGGCAGGCAGGGGTGGGTGCAAAAGCCAGAAGGAGATGGGTTAAAGGGGCAGGGAGCGGCCAGGAGAGGGCTCTAGAGAGCGATGTTCCCAGTGCCTGCAAGAGGGTGGCTGTGTCACTCTCGGAGGGTCTCTGGACAGACACTGACCGGTGAAGCATAATGTGATTGTGTAAGTTTCTGAGTAGCTACACTAAAAAGTAAAAAGCAGATAAAAGTAATTTTTAAACATTTGCCAGTGAGAGAAAGAGGCTAAGTGAGAAAGCATCCTCCATGCCATAATTCTTTCTCCTCCATTTCTCCCTCTTTTCTGGATTTTGGGTATATACAGGCATGTGGTATGTTTTTCAAGCTGCAGGGCCTGGGACTCAAATCATGGGGCTGGCCACATGCGATCCAGTCACCTTAATCACCATGCCAATGCTGGCCTGAAAGTAATTTTAATAATATGTTTTTCTTAACTGAGTACATCCAAAATATAATCAATATAAAAATATGAATGAGGGGCTAGCACGTGGAGTAGTGGTTGGGGTTCTTGACTCACATGGTCAACTGTAGTTCGAGTCCTGGACCTGGTTACTTTAAACTCATGCTGGGTGCATATACATGAGTGCCGAAAATCCCAAGAGGAGAATGGAGAAGGGACTACAGAGTGGCCATCCTCCCTGGGGGCTGATTTCTTGCTTTCTTCTCTCTAGCTCTCTGAGTGCATGCACCCTATAGCAAAAATCTCTCCAAAAAATTCATATGAATGAGATGTCTTACATTGTGTTTTTCATACATGAGGAAATGATACACAATAATGAACAATTTAAAAAAAAAAAAAGGAGTATTTCTTACCTAGCGCATGTATCAGTTTGAACCAACAACATTTCAATTGCCTAATAGTTGTTAGGGAATGAATTGTCCCTCTTGTTCTCCCAAGCAAAAATTCACAAGTTGAAGCTCTTACTCCTATGTGACCTTATCTGGAGAAAGGACCCTTAAAGAGGTAATTAAGGTTAAACTGGAGCCCTAATCCAATTTGAGTGGCGATCTTACAAAAAAGAGGAAGAGACACCAGGATTGTGCTCACAGAGAAAAAGGCCACATGAGGGACCAGCAGTTAGCATAATGGCTATGTCACTGGACTCCCATGTAGTCAACCACGGTTCGAGTCCCAGACCTGGTGGCTTAAACTTGCGCTGGGCGCGTGTGCATGCGTACCCAAGATCCTGAGAGGAGAATGGAGGAGAATGCAGCATGGCTATCCCCCCCTGTGGAGTGATTCCTTGCTTTCTTTCTCTCTGGCTCTCTATGTCCTTCTGGAGAGCACACATGCCCTATAGCAAAAATCTCTACCAAAAAAAAAATGTACAAAAAAGGAAAAGAAAGAAAAAGGCCACGTGAGGATATAGCGAGAAAGTGACCGGCTGTCTCCAGACCAAGGGGAGAGAACCCTGGAGAAACCAACCCTGCTGGCACCTGGACCTTGGCCTTCCAGCATCTGGAGTGGGGAGGAATTAAATCTCTGTGTTTAAGCCACCTAGTCCCAGTGTTCTGTTCCAGCAGCCCCAGCAGAGTAACATAACTGTCCATGTTGGGATAATCCTGCAGACAATGTCTCCAACTCAAGGGACCCATGGGGCTGTCTCAGAGATGGCATGTGAACTGGGCTCTCAGAATCGATGGCTGAGACCCACCAGAACTCTGTGGACGTATTGACCTCTACGGTGTTTCAACTCAAGGTAGGGTGCTTTTGAGGCTCATGTCATGGGAACCTTGAAGCCCCAGGGACTAGTGAGAAGTGGGGTCAAGAAGCTGAGAGTTACTTGAGTAGGGGCAGCATCCGTGGCAGGAAGCAAAAAAAAAGATTGCAGGGCTGAGGATGAGCCTCCCAGCCAGGAACTATATCTGACCCACCTTGTCCCTGGAGGATGTTCCAGGCTTCACAGAGTGGTGCAGTGGGAAATTTGGATCAGAGGTGACATTCAAAATATGGAATCATCTGTTTGTCACGGGCTCCTGTCCGTCAGCACAGACACTGGCCATGCACAGCCGTGGTAGCTATGTTGATTCTTACCAGCTGGATATCATCAGCCGGGAGGGAGATTGTACTAACTCAGAGCTCCCTAGCTGCAAAGACACACCGGATCTGCAGATCCTGAGAAATGAGGGTCCCCACAGCCATCTGTATACTGCAGACAAGTGGCTGATATGAGATAGATGCCAATAGATGTCTTGATCTTTGTAAGTCTCAGACACCAAGACTCAACCCCATCTAAGGAGGGGACCAGCAATGGTGAGCCAGCTTAGAACCAGCCCTCACTGCTAAATTTTCAGGAAAATTTGCAAGCCAATTATTAAACACAGCTACTGCTAAAAATTAAATTGGGGGGAATAAAAGTAATTCAATTAGATTCTATAAACTTATAATTAAATAAATTATATTAAAACACAGGTAATAAATACCCAAGACTCATCTCTTCTTAATTAGGCTATACATTTTACAATTATCTGGGCTCTTGGAGTTATTGATGGTTATGGTGCCTGTGTCGTGGAAATACTATAGGAAGAATGTTAACGGTTGGCAAATTTCCTCCCAGCTCTGTGCTCACTGGCATCTCCAAATCGGCCATGATGGAGTATTTACAGTATGGAAATCTACAAATGCTACAAGTCAGACCTTACTGCTAACCCCCTACAGAGAGCCGGTTGTTAAGCTTTTACCAGCCCACCACCAGGAGCATGCCCCAAGAACGACAAACACTGAACTTCCCATGCGCCCAGCAGAACAGAGAAGCTCGATTAAAAGGTGATAAAGACAATGGCTCTTTTGCCACTCTCCAGTTGGCAAACTAAATCTGTCACTCCTGCCAGATCCATTTACCATGGCTCTGAAAACCAGCTAGAATTTAACATCTCACCGGACAGTCCTAGCCTGTCCAACTGCTGGACACGAAGGACAGTGTGCAAAAGGCCAGACAGAAAAGCCACCCACAAGAAAACAAGAAACGACAATAAAATGTTCCATCTGGCCACACTCCTGGGTCCCGTTGACATTTGAGGAATCAGCGATTCCCTTCGGAAGGAAACACCCTGTTTTCCAGGGGATGTCACCTCTCTGAGAGGTGC